CACTTCATAGCGTCCTTCTTCGTGCTCTGATTTCTCCCTCTCCTACCTTATTTGACTAAGACCATATTTGTTTTTATTAAGATTAAGATATGCAATATGATTTAGACGTTTGAATCTAAATACGCATATGAGTATTAAGATGTTATATTAAGAACTGAATATTGAATAATTAAGATTGTTTGTTTTCTCAGCATCTGAATGTATAAAATTTATTTTTATTAAAAAATTAATAATATAAATTCAAAATAAAATACTAATTAATCTAATATTATATGAATAAAATAATTTTTTTTAAAAAAAATATATAGCGATTGGTGGTGGTGAGGCCTAACACTGATAGTTGGGTGCCAACTGGGGTAGTGATTGGCGGTAGTGTTGGCTGATGGTGGTAATTGTGGGCAGTAGTTAGTGGTGATGTTGGATGGTATTAGTTGTTAACAATGGTTGTTGATGGAGGTGGTGACTAGTAACGGTAATGATATATAATGGAGGCTGATAGTGATAATGGTCAGTAGTAATGGGTGGTTGGTGATGATGGTAGTGAATAGTGAATAATGGTGCTGACACCGGACATTGGTGATTTACAACGGTGGTGGCTGTGACTGAAGATGGTTGTTGTGAGTGGTGGTGGTGGTGGGTGGTGTAGTCTATAATAGTGGGCGGTGGCGGTGGTGATAATGGTGGTAGCGGCAACAGTGGTGGTTAGCTATGAAAGTGTATGGAGTAATGGTGAAATGTCATCTTTGCATAAATTTTTGAATATACAACATCTTAATGATATTAAGACTTTGTTATAAATCTTAATCATTATGATCTATTAAGACCCATAAGTGATTGTAAAATGAAAAAAATAACTTAATGGTTAAGATCTAAATATTTAAAATCTAAAATACAAACACATTTAATGACTGAGATCTGAATGATTAAAATTTAAACCTCTATTAAGTTGCAAACAAATGAGGCCTAAACCTTGTCTCACCCAGGATAGGTCTCCATTCCTCCTTTTCTTTGTACAATTCGGAGAAAACCTACTATTGCCTCCTTTTCCCCTTCCAATCCCTCCTATACGAATTCACCCACTTCTATGGTCTCCACTAAATTATTGCATGAATTGTACTTTGTGTGTGCTAGATAGGAATATATCTTAAAGTATTGTGTGTTATGCAGTTTTCAGTAACAAAGCATGCTAGATAGGAATTTATCTTAAAATTTTGTCTGTTATGCGGCATAGTTATATATATCTTCGATGGAGTTTAGATCATCCGTGGTTATATTCATCTGACTCAATATCCTCACAACTGATATTTTGCAGCAACAGCAACCCAATATTTGGAGATACAAGCCTTCCTAACACTCATGATCTATGGTCATCTAGTAAAGATGTGACAAGCAGTTCAGATAAGTCGGTTCCCCTATCTATTGACTCTCTGAGTTTGGCTCTAGGATCTCCGCGAAGCCCATCAGAAAGATTAGAAGTTAAAGCAGAATACAGGCTAGATCAGGAGAAGTCCTCCACTGGTGATGAAGAGAATGCTAGTGATATCACATCTAATGTGCATCTGTCTACTGATGCTAGGGACCATGGTGGAGTCAAAAATATGCTTTTACAGAATGAAAAGGTAATGGTACCGGATCTAAAACTATCTCATACCAATTGTATTTTCTTCAGTATGTAAATGATTGTATCTCTTGTTCAATAATTTTTTAAAGCTAAAAGGATACATGTTGTAGCTTGAACAGACAACATCGCAGATGGGAGGATAGGGTCTTCCATTTAAATGCTGGAACTATCACAGTCCCTGCTAGATCTCAGAAGGATTAGTTTTTAATGTTCCCTAGCTCACCAGTGAAAACTAATCCACAATAACTCACTTATTACATAGGGATGATCTTTCATTTTCACTCCTTCCACTTCTTGTTGGGTAAGTAATATGAAGGTAGTATGAAAAGAAGTTTAGATAGAAAACTGGATTCAGGTCTTCAAAGAAGATTTAGGCAAGAGACATGCATGATAATTATTTGTCTCATGGTGCTAGTTAATTGTGCATTGTGACTGTATTGATTGGTATTTGTTCATAGGAAGTATCAAGATTTCTACCTTAGCTGGACCGAAGCCTAACATCACATATACAATGACAACAACAACAACTAGGCGTCAGTCCCTAACCTCACATGTAATTGATGATATATTGTTTCTTCAGATATTCTAGCAGAGAAGAGTCTGTAGGAGAGATGTCATAATCGCTTGTGGTATTAGGTCATCCCCTCTTGCTGCCAATGTTTTTCCCTCATACCACTGGTATATATGTGCTTATCTGTATGCATTTCACAATTTCTAAGCAGGTTAAGGAAGATATGAGGATAAATTAAGACAGACGTTCTTCTTTGAGATCTGTTATCTTTTCTTTCACAAAATTTTCTCTGCAGAGATTGGTGGAGCCAGAAATAGGTTTCAAAATTTACTGATAAAAAAAGAGGGTCTATGACAAGCTATCTTGCTTAGCTGATTTCCACGTTATTCAATTTTCTTCAGACATCAAAATAGAAGTTTCTCATTCATCGAGTTCTTTCATATCCAGTTAAGAGAAAAAGGGAATCTCTAATTTTCGATCTAATTGGCAAAGCCTACTTCATATAGCTGGTGAAATCATCTGTATAGTTTCTTCAGATCATTAAATAACTTTTAGTAAGAGAAGTTGTGAAGCAAAGATTAATAGTTTCATGGATAAAATAGCTCCAAGATGCAAACCTTATATTTCTGCAAAAGAACAATAAGACATTTTGCGGAGATGGTTGTTTCCGGGGCTGCTCTATGTAAGATTTTGTACCATCTTGGTACTTATTAATGAAACTTTTACCTTATAAAAAAGATAAGACATCTTGCGGAAGAAAAGTCCGTTATTGACTTTGTGATGATTATGACCACATATATTTAAAGACATTGCTGCACATAGCCCTCTCTCTCACCTGCCATTTTTCTTTTTCTTTTTCCCTGTTTACGGTAAAATTTGTTGAACATTTGATTCCTCCAATCCACAATTTGGTGTGTTATTTTCTGATCTTTTGACTTTGTAAAATTATTATATAAATGGGAAAGAGAATACGTGTAGTGGACCCAGATTGTTACAGGGACGTGGTTGTACTTAAAATCATGGCTTTCAGGAATAATGAGAGCTTCCTATGCAGTTGTTCTGTACTTCCTCCTTTTTCCTTTTTCCTTTTTCCTGTTTCCTTTTTCCTTATTTTTAGTTTATGTAGGTAGCATTTTCAAATGGCTCTACAAGCTCTTCTTTTTATAAGGTAAATAATTTTTTTCTGATAATATTTTTTTTGGAGAGACATAGTCAATGAGGATTCATATAGTTTACTTCAACATGTTTGGGACTGAGCCATAGTTGTTGTTGTGGGAAAATCTCCCATATACAAGCAATATACCAAAAGTAGAGAATCTACAACATAATATAATTCTCTATGAAGGACACCCAATATTCTATACATACTGGAACCTCATTGGTGTAGCCAAAAAAAAAAAACTAGAAATGAGAGGCTATTCCAGTATTCCTAAGTGTACGTGACTATTCTCTATCCCATCAAAAGCTCTCCTATTTCGTTCCTTCCACAGGACCCACATAAGTACTAGCGGCGCAACATCCGAGGCTCTTCGACCTCTCTTCTTCTTAGTTTCTAGCTGGAAAGTGCTTTTGTCACTGTGCACATGGCTTTACAAGCTTTATCACAGTTTTTCTTCAACTCTCTTTCCTTAGGTGGTCGGCATTGTGAATTTGGGAAGTAAATCAAAATGAAATCAAAATGCTATTAGTGGTGCTTCATGTTGCAAATGTTCAAGTGGAAACTCACTTGTGGTGTGAGTTTTTGAGATGGTTCGGGATGCAATGGCGATGTGAAAATAGTGAAGGAAGCACTATCCAGCTTGGAATTTCAAAAGAAGGAAGAGACATCAAGGAGCTTGGAGGTTGCCCCACTAAGCACTCATGTGGTTCCAGCGGAAGGAAAGCAATAGGAGAGCTTTTGATGGCATAGAGTATGACTATGTACATTTGAGGAATAGCCTCTCATTCCTAGTTTCTTTTTGGTGAACCCATGCGTTTTCAGTATATATAGAAGGTTGAGTGTCGTTCGTTGAGAATCATATTATGCTGTAGATCCTTTACCTTTTGGTATACTGCTTGTGCACGGGAGATTTTCCCATTATTTACCTTATAAGAAAATCATATCTTCATACTTTTTCTACAAAGGAAAAGTTTGCTGCTGATAAATCTTGGATATAAAGTAAATCCAGAGGACAATCAACTGGAAACTTATTTTGCTTCGGTGAAATTGTGGAATTATTCTTGGATATCATTGTAATCACTCACTAAGGCTCCACCTTGAAAACTGTTAAGTAATTGGGAACAACTCTACTTACGTCAACATGGATTGTCATCCCTCAAGACAAGGTGGACAAAGAAAAATAACTCCCCCTGCACTTGCATGCGAAACTAAATTTGAGTATGCTGACTTGAGTGAGTGTCATATATTTATTGTTTTTTTTTGTTTTTGAACATCAAAGTGTTGTTCTAGTTGTTTTCGTGTGTACAGGGAAATAAGCAGGAAAGAATATTGAAGGGTCGATTTAAATTAGAACAAGAAGGTGAACTTGCTCAGTTGCAGGAATTATGCGGATCTGTGTCTCCTCAAGTGAACACGTTTGGCATGCCATATGTAACGAATCAACCTTATCTCGCTTCAGAGCTCAGTCAACAGAGCCAGCTTCAAGGACCAGAATGTTTGCAGCACAAACATTTCCCAGGTCCACTTTTTGCTTCTTCTACCTATGGGGATATGGGGAATCACTATTCTCCCATGCCTGTCTTGTCACAGGTCCATTCTGGACAAGCAAGCGATCAGCGCGTCCTTTCAAGTTATAAAGCTTCTCCAGGCAATTCAAATCATTTCAGCAAGTCTCTAGATGCTTCGTCAAAACCTTTGATGATGACACCTCAGGAAAAAATTGAAAAACTGAGAAGGCGACAGCAATTGAGAGCAATGCTTGCCATTCAGAAACAGCAGCAGCAGTTTAGCTATCAAATGTTATCCCCTGAACAATCTGCAATGCAAGGAGGATCTGTTGAAGAGAATTTGAGCTGCATCCCTTCTCTTGACCCAACCTCACCTTTGGAACAGGGTGACTCCAACACCGTTTGTTTGGCAGTTGAAGAATCCTCAGTGGAAGACACGGCACTATATCTT